TAACACATCAGAATATTTATAATAAGGCAATCCATAGTTTTGAGTATATCCAAGATATCTCAATACTCTCACAAAAACTTTCCAGTGATTCTTCCCTGGATTACTTGTGAATCTAGTTAAACTACTTATAGTGAAAGCAATATCATGTCTAGTGCAACTCATAAGGTACATTAGACTACCTATTATTCTTGCATATCCCCTTGGTTAACACTTTCACCTTTATTTTTAGGTAGATGTTGACTTGTATCTATCGGAGTTTTGGCTACACCAAAATCATCCTTGCCAAAATTTTCTAGAATCTTGTCTATATGAGTCAATATAAGACCTTCAGATGACCTTTTGATTTGGATGCCCAAAATCATGTTAGCAAGTCCCATATCTTTCATGTCAAATTTTGAATTTAACATGTGTTTGGACGCTTTATCATTTCATTATTGCTTCCAACGATGATTATGTCATCAACATATAGGCATAAGATTGCATATCCATCAACAGTGATTTTGACATACACAAATTTGTCACACTCATTAATTTGAAATCCATTTGAGATCACGAAACTATAAAAACTTTTCATTCATATTATATGGTGTTTGTTTAAGTACATATAATGACTTCACCAACCTACATACTTTTTTCTTATCCTGGAGTTACATATCCTCAGGTTGTTCCATGTAAATCTCTTCATCAAGGTCTCCATTAAGGAAAATGGTCTTAACATCCATTTGATATACTTTTAAATTTCGTAGAGTGGTAATTGAAAGTATCATTCTAATAGAAGTTATTCTTGATACGAACGAATACATATCAAAATAATCAACACCTTCCTTTTGTCAGTAACCTTTTATAACCAACCTGGCCTTGTACTTATCAATTATCCCATCTGCTTTCATTTTTCGTTTGAAAATCCATTTAGAATTTAATGGTTTAATTTCATGAGGAAGATCCACTAATTCTCATGTATGATTTTGCATGATTGAATCAATTTCACTCTTGATAGCATCTTTCAATGCACTTTCAGATGAGCATACATCTTCACTATAAGTTAGAGGTTCAGTCTCTAGAATATAGGTTAGAAAGTCCAATCCAAAGGACTTTTCTACCCTTGATCATTTACTTCTTCTTGGTTTTATGTCGACTTCAATATCTTATTGAAAGTCTTGACTATTTTCATCAACAGTTTCTAAAGTTTATTTCTTTGAACTTGAACCAATTTCCCTAGTCTTACAATGGAATACAGTTTTAAAGAATGAGACACTTTTAGGACCTATTTTCATATTCTTTAATAAAGGGCCATTACCTTTGCAAGACATCCCCACATTTTTAAGTAATTGTAGGATGTTTTCCTGCCTATCCATAACTCATATGGTATCTTTTTTCCCCTATAGGGAACTTTAATTAAAAGATAATTTACTGATAAAATAGATTTCCCCACATGTTCTGTGACAATCTAGAATTTCCTAGCATGGCGTTCATCATTTCTTTTAAGGTTCAATTTTTCCGCTATGCTACTATATTCAATTGAGGACAGTATGGTGGTGTTACTTCATGAATAATACCATGTTTTGCATAATATTAACCAAATGGTTCAATGTATTCACCATCACGATCAGTTCTCACCCTCTTAATCTTTTTATTGAATTTTCAACTTCCTGCTTATAATGAATAAATGTTTCTATAGTTTTATCTTTACTTTTAAGCAAATATACATAGCAATATTTTTGTGCTATCATCTATGAAGGTAAAAAAAAAATTTATTCCCTCCTCTAGTTTGAACAAATTTCAAGTCACAAACACCATTATGTATTAGATCAAGATGTTACATATTTCTTTCAAATGTTTAAAAGAAGACCTTGTTAGTTTTGTCTCAACACACGTTTCACATGCATGATTATAATTAATGTGAAATTAGGGAATATGTTCTAAGTTAATTAATCTATGTAAAATATCATAATTAACATGTTCGAGTCTGCCATGCCATAAATTAAATGACTCAAGCATATAAACAGAAGAAGAAGTATCATTCTTATTCATAGTTTTAACTTTTACATAGATAGCATTGAGTTTCCACATATCATTTAATGCATACCCCTTCTCACAAATGTTCCCCATTTTATAAAACTAACTTCTGATATTCAAACATCATCCGAAAACCATGTACACTTAGGAGGGTCCCAACAAAAAGGTTGTTTCGTATGTCAGACACATACAACATATTTTGAAGCTTCAATTATTTTCCAGAAGTCATTTTCAAAATCACAGTGTCTTTCCCTTGATTTTGTAAGTTGCAATGTTGCCCATATAGAGCTTTTCTCTTTTTTTACAATGAGCCAACTTATTAAAGGAGTCCTTGTCACAAAAAATATGTCATGTGGAACCAGTATCAAGACACCATTCTCTTGGATTTGAATCAACCAAGTTGACTTTAGAGACCACTACACATAGGTCAAGTTAAGATACTTCCTTGGAAATTTTTGTCATGATATTAGCCTATTTTGTTTTAATCCTTTTTGGAAGTCTACAGTGGGATGACATGTGTCATGTCTTATTGCAATGAGACCATTTTCCTTTAAATTTTTAACTTTTGAAAAGACCGCCTTTTGGTCATAGTTTAGACTCAATTTCATATTGTTTTATTTTCTTGAAGTCCTTTTTGGCTTCCACCATATTTCCCTTGGCAATGTTTTGATTCACAGTTTTGTTTAGCCTTTTAGCCGCACATCGATTGTCTTCTTCAATCTGAAGTCTCACAATCAAATATTCCACTGTCATTTCTCTTTTCTTATGCTTTAGATAGTTCTTGAAGTCATTTCAAGTAGAGAGAAGTTTTTCAATAATGGCTGCCACATAAAATATTCACTTATAACTATCCCTTTTGCGAGAATAGCATGAATAATCAGTTGGAATTCTTGCACCTGATTCACAACAGTTTTAGAATCTATAATTACAATATTTAAGAACATGGCAACTAGGAATTTCTTGGCACCAACATCTTCAGTTTTATATTTATGGTCCAATGATTCCCATAATTCCTTAGCCGTTTTATTTATGTTGTACACTTCATAAAGTACATCATATAAACCGTTCAAGATGTAATTACGACATAGGAAATCATAGTGCTTCCTTACTTCAGTAATGTTGAAGGCGGTAGCAGCATCCACCTTATCCTCTCTAATAGTAGGAGGATTATCCTTTAGAAATTTGGCGAGATTTAACGTTGTCAAATAGAACAACATGTTTTGTTGCCACGTTTTGAAATTCTCTGCGTTGAATTCCGTTGGGTTTTCATTATGACTCATGGTTATAGGTAACGTTTGGCTCGCAGCCTGAGTCTGTGTACTGAAAATCGTATTAGATTGAGAATTGGATGAAGTAGCAGACATTTTTCTATCATCGAAATAAAAACAGAAATAAATAGAAATAATACAAAATAAAAGTATAATAATCTAAATATATTACCACAATAATCTGTTTGAGTTTATATTAAACTACAACAAAAGAAACATGTCTTAAGATTGCAGTAAAAATGATTTAATGTTGTAGTAATAACGTAATAAAACACACCAAAATAGATTAAATGGTAAAATTATAATAAAACATGTAATTGAATGAAATCGAAAAAAAAGGAAGAAATTTTTTATTGAGACTTGTATGACCAGTCTCCTTAATAAAGATTCATCCTCTCCTCGATGCTTTAAGTAACGTTGGACGTCAGTCTCCAAGGATACAACAACAAACATTCACAACAATAAGCATAATAGTCTCGAACAAAATTTTTGTCTTTATCAATCACCAAAAAGAATTTGGAGGAATTTTGAAGATATGAAAGGAAATTACTTGAAAGAAAAAGAAATATAGGAATTTTTAAGTTGTGTTGAAAATGTGTCCAACTTAACCTTTATATAGGGAGAGGAGTTAGATTAAAAAGTTAATATCTTTCAATGAAAGAACTTAACCTTTTGATTAAAATACAACTCTTTTTATGAAAGGGCTTAATATTTTTTCATGAAAAATCTTAACATTTTTCATAAAAGAACATAACTTTTCCATGAAGAGTATTGTTGAATAGGTATGATTGAATAATCATCAATTCATTCATATTTTTCTAACGTATATGTCATAGAATATTGTCGATAATGTGATGAATTAGTTTTGTGTCGATAAATGGCCATTAGGGACATGAGTCGACTGAATCTGCTTTATCATCGCATTATAGTCGGATGTGGTGAACATCCAACGCTGACTGCAGACTAGTTGCTGGGATTTAGAAGAGTGTGATGAGTTAGAGATAGGGTTGCCATTGGTGAATATATAAAGTGTTTTTTGATGTATGTGATTCTTTTAATAAGCATTGTAAGGTTTATATAGTGATGGAAATATGGAATAAAATAAAGCAGGAATATTAGATTTCCACTTTGCTTGCAAGATGAGTAATAAGAAAAAGGGTAAATTACACCAATCATCGTTGAACTTTACTCTCTTCTAATTCACTTATTGTACTTTAAATTCGTTTAATTTCCTCACTAAACTTAATACATTTGATTTTTTCACTCCATCGTTAAATAGTTAATGGTGTTAAAACGAGGTTGTTAGTGAGAAAATGGTGGAGTGACAAAAAAAATCAAATTTATTAAGTTCAAAGAGGAAATTGAACGGATTTAACATATAGTGAGTGAATTAGGAGAGAAAAAAGTTCAATGATAATTGATGTAATTTACCCTAAGAAAAAAGCTAAAGGGGTTGTCTAGCAGGATAAGGATAACATAGATGTAGCCATACATGGCCCCTAAGCCTTTTTCTTTACATGAAATGTCCAAAATGTAGGAACACCACATATTTGTTATACTTTGTATTTAAAGTTTTAATAGATTATTTTATATAAATTTAATTGATAAATAGGATTCTAACTTACATATTTTGTTTTATGTGTTTAAATTTTTATTTTGTCAAAATAGTTATCAAAATTTTTATTTTGATCATGAGTTGTTATTTTGGTACCTTGTTATTTTGCAGGACAAATCACGGAAGGCAACAGGAATGCAAATAGATGCCCTGGAAGATGGTTACGTTGATCATGAGTTGTTCTCTCTTTCTTCCATTAAGGTTTGTTTTACCAAGGCTGCGAACTGGATAACTCCAATAATGTTTGTAACTAGTAAAAATACAATTTATTACTGCAAGTATAAAAGATGACCAAAACTGACACTCATCACAAGGCTGCAGTTATGCCATTCGAACCAGGGGCATAGTTGATGTTTAACCTTATTGATTATTAATCTACTGTTTCTGAACTGAGACAAGTTTTATTCTTAACATCGTTTCGGTTTACTTACACTTTGTTAATGGAAACAATGCTCTGGCTTGCGTTACTGTGCAATACTAAACTGTTGCTTACAGTTGTGGTTCTTTGATATTTCCTGAAAAGTTACTTAGGTTGTCTTTTAAGCTTTATACTTTGGTAGAAACATTCATTGATGTCAGTCAATTACCATCTTTAGGGTAAGAAAGATCTTGCGGCAGTTGATTCCACCGAGTATGATGGTGGCAACGTTGATCTGAGGGGTAGCGAAGATGAACAAAACCGAGAAGAAAGCACCGAGGATGAGTCATCCAGTGATATCGATTCTGATGAAGAACGCAGAAGGTTAGTATCTGCTTCTCATGACTGATATATATATATATATATAATTTCTAACATTCTCTGTTTGTTAACCTTGTAATTTTAATGCTAGATATGATGAAAAAATAGAAGAGATCCTTGATCACGCGTATGAAGAGTATGTGTCGAAAAAGGATGGAAGTACGAAGCAGAGGAAGCGTGCAAAAGAAGCCTATGGCAAGTTAGAGGTATGAAGCTCTTAAAGTGTGTATTAGAATTTAGAACTAAAAAATATTTGATCTTTTGTAGAAACTTTAACTAATAAGTGTTAACAGTCTCCTCTTTTCTGCATCAAGTACTACTTCCCTATGCTTCTCTTTTGTTAATAGAAATCCTGTTTTCGAGGTGCTAGTATCATTCCCTTATTTATTTATGCTTTTAATAGATAATGACGAATAGTTGTTAATAAAAGCCGAATATTGTTTATTGAATTTCCGTTCATGGCTGTTCAGGGTGGTGATGGTGATATTATTTTTTCTGATCATGATTCGGATATGGAAGAGGCTGATCCTGAAGCAAATCCTCTTATGATACTGCTAGATGACGGGGAAGGACGAACTCAGGAGGAGATTACAGACAGGTGGTTCGGTCAGGATATTTTTGCTGAAGCCGTAGAGCAAGGGGATTTAGGGAAGTATGACAGTGATGATGAAATGGAGACCGATAAACGACAGGAAAGGGCAGCTATTCTAGAGAGGTCCAAAGTAAAGAAAAAACAGGATGAAAAACTCAATATTCCGAACAAGGCCGAGGAAAAGAAAGCAAACGATGCTGCAGGCCCCAAAAGCACCAAACTCCAGGCTTCCAATGCACAGGATGATTTTGAGATTGTCCTGGCTCCAGCTACTGATTCCAGTGATGACTCGTCCTTAGATGACTCGGAAGATGATGATGTTGAGACGAAAGCTGAGGTATTAGCTTGTGCTAAGAAGATGCTCAGGAAAATGCAAAGGGATCAAATTCTCGACGATGCGTATGATAAATATATGTATCATGATGATGGTCTACCCAAGTGGTTCTTAGATGAGGAAAAGAGGCTTTGTCAACCAATTAAGCCTGTTACAAAGGAAGAAATTTCTGCAATGCGAGCACAATTCAAAGAGATAAATGCTCGACCGGTTAAGAAAGTTGCAGAGGCAAAGGCTCGAAAGAAGCGGATTGCAATGAAAAAGCTAGACAAGGTCCGCCAGAAAGCAAACATCATATCAGACCAAGCCGACATCTCCGAGCGGTCAAAGGGGAAGCAAATCGAACAACTTTACAAGAAGGCTACGCCCAAAAAGCCCCAGAAGGAATACGTGGTCGCGAGGAAAGGGGTTCAAGTTATGGCCGGCAAGGGGAAAGTCCTTGTTGATCGTCGGATGAAAAAGGATGCCCGGGCACGGGGAACTGGAAAACCAGGAAAAGGTGGTTCAAAGAAGGGAAAGAACGGAAGAGCGTGGAAAGGTAAAGGATCTGTCAAGGCTTCAGGGGGCAAGGGAAACAAAGGAGCGCGCATGCATGACTGAAGCAACTTAAGTTTTGAAAGGCACACTTTTGGATGAAATTAAACAATTAATACAAATGTTAGGACTAAAGAGCTCCAATACTTTATTAAATTGTACCTTACATAGATGTTTGATAGATGCTCGGTAATCAAATGAATCTCTATTATATTCGAAGTTAACTTGGGATGGATGCTCGGTAGTCAAATGAATCTCGACTAGGACTGTAAATGAGACGAGACAGATCGCGAGCTACTCGAGATCGACTTGATCAAGGCTCGATAAATACTCGGATCAAATGGACTCGACTCGAGCTCGAGCTCGACTCGAGTTCTTAACGAGCCGAAACGAGCTACTCGATATTCGACTCGAAAAGCTCGTGAGCTACTCGAAAAAATGTTATATTATAATTTTAGATTTTTTAAAATTACATTATTAAAAATATATTTAAAATACATTATTGATAATTATTAAATTTTAAAAATATATAAAAAATTCTATAATACAACTACCCTCAAATTTTAATTTTTTTAATTAACCACCCCAAGTCCAATTGTTACATTGTATATTACTAAAAGAAAAATAAAAGCCCATTTAATTAAGCACATGTTAAATTACACATGTTTGGTTGATTTTTTCTTTCTTTTTTAACTTTTTACTGCACAAGTATTTGACAACGTAGAAAAATAAAATAAAAAAATAAGAAAAAACAGTCAAACAATAGAAAAATTGAAAATTGTTAAAAATTATTTTTGAATAAATATTCTTATATTTATTTTAAATTAATAAAAAAATTATTTATCTAATGACAAATATTTAATATATTTCTAAGGATAATATTTTTAATAACTAATTTTCTAAATTGTTGTTATATTTTGAGGTTTCGGGTTCAAATATTATAAATATTAAGGGTTTGGGCATTTAATATCAATATACTATATTGTACTTACCTCATAAATCATTACCAAGTCGATTAATTAATGTATTTGTAATGAACCCTAAACCCTAAACCCTAATCCCTAATCCCTAATCCATAAGCCTTAAACACTAAATCCTAAACCCTAAACTCAATTATGTGATAGGGGGTTAAGTTATACACATGAATGTAACATACAAATTATGCAAAATGATGTTATGTGACTCCTAAATAAATCATTCGCATACTTATACATAAACATATCAACATGCAAAATAAATATACACAACTTGCTGATTGAGACATGATTTTATCATATCTTAATGATGACTATCGACACTGTCATTGCTTTCAAGCACTGACTCACCAACATAATATTTCACGAACTGACTCGACGACATAATGTAAACCGATTAAATAATTTTTTATTCATGCTCATTTTTAGAGTATTTTAGCTTAAAACATTTATTTTGACGAAAAGAACCATATTTTATAGCATTGAAGGTTTGTTGGCTAATCGTTTTCATCAAATGAATTGACACTTTTGTCTCAAAATGAAACATTAGGATAATTTTTTTTAATTTTTTTAACTAAATTAACTATTTAGTTAAATGATAAAGATATTTTTTTATCAATATACCTTTTAATCATCATAAGTCATAGGTGAGATTTGAGCTTAAAATTAATTCAATTCATTAATCAGTTTCGAATTGAAATAACTTTTAACAAATATTATTATTATTTTTTAATCGTTCATTAATTAAACATTTCAATGTTCGATTATATTTTATCATACCCTAGTCAACAGGTTAATATCAATATCATACAATCATCAATTTTTTTAATGAAAAATGACGAGTTTGAATCATATGAATAGTCGAGTGATCATTTTATAACTTTTAATGGTTGAAGGACTCAACAACATAACATCCTATAGTTGTGGGACTATTTTATAACTTTTAATAGCCATGAGACTATTTATGTACTTTACCCTATTATTTTCATATGATCTTTATTTTCAATGACTTGATAAAAATGAATTTAAAAATATTATATGGAATTAATAATCAACCGATGTGAAGATTAATAAAAATATTAATATATTTAATGTGAAATTAATATATCTAGATGGGAAAAATTAAAAACATATTATATAAATAATTGATAAAACAATATTTTGGCTGAGATTGAAGATTGAAGCCAAGGGAGAATTCAATTCATCGAGCTCGTCATCACTTGTGTATGACTTTCTCAGGACCGACGACCCACTTCTTCTTAGCTGAGATCGGCTTCCAACTTCGCCGATGATGCTAGCAACAGATGATGCTAGCAACAGATGATGCTAGCAACAGATGATGCTGAAGGTGGCAAATAAGCTGGAGGAGATGCAGCATACGGGAAGTCTGTGAGACTGTGACAAACCCTTCCCTCTCTTCGTCAGGATATGTTACTCAAGTCTTGTGTGCATGTTCAGTACTTCAGTTGGTGTGAGTTGATATCCCACATTGGTGGTTCTTGGGGAATAAGGGGTAAATTGAGTGTATAAAAGGGGATGGGTTTTCAGCAAATGAAAATTAACCCGTCGAGCTTGAATCGAGCTTGAATCGAGCTTGAATCGAGTTTGAATCGAGCTTGAATCGAGCTCAAAATCAAGCTTGAATCGAGCTCAGAATCGAGCTCAAAATCGAGCTTCAATCGAGTTCAAGTCTCGAGCTTCAATCGAGCTCTTGAATTTTTTTTGAGTTCGAGCCTTTTCGAGTTCGAGTCGAGTTTCAATATTATCTTTTGAGTTCGAGTCGAGCTTGAAAATTTTAGGCTCGCGAGTTTTTGAGTCGAGCTTACATTTATAGTTTTCGAGTTCGAGTCGAGCTTGGCAATACTCGAGCTCGACTCGGCTCGTTTACACCCCTAATCTCGACTATATTCTATGTTAACTCGAGTTAAACACTTAAGTAGGGGGATAGAGTTTCACACTAAGGTGTTTAAATGCTCACTAACAGAAGTGAATTTCAAGTGCGGATAGAGCTGTTCCCATCAACGCTGAATATATGAAAGTCATCTCCATATTCTCCAGATATGAACTCTCTGCAAATTCCAAAATTGAAAACTTTAGTACACTTCCAAACAAGAACCAATCTACCACTAAAACGAATCCAAGTAAAAGCTATAACAAGTAATAGTTCTCGATAATCTTTTACGATAATGGTGCATTACGCGTACCTTTGATTCTCTGAAGAATCTCCCATTCTTGTACATAAATCTTCTCGAGTTTTTTTACCCATTTTATCCTCCCACATTGCTAACAGCTGATTCATGGAGCATGCATTCCCCGGGGGTCTCAGATACAAAATCTAGTGTTCGAGGATAGTCTATGGCACTGATGGTGCATGCTGCAACGTAGACATCCTTTACAACTTCTTCCTTGACAGAATTCGCCAAAGACTCGATGGATGGTCTGCAAAAACTCTTTCTTTCGCCGGACGAGTCACTCTTGCAAAATCAGTTCTTCTTTGTATTCCCTCCTTCATTATGCAAGCTTGTAAATTGCCGACATCTCTCTGTAATGAGATCGAGCGAATGGTCAGGCGCTTTATTTGGGGTTCCCCCTCCTTGACTAATCCCATCCCTCTAGTTAAATGGGAAGACCCCTGTCAATCTCTCCATATAGGCGATCTGGGCCTTCGTCGAATAAATTTTCAGAACATTGCTCTCCTCTTCAAAATTTGCAATGATCCCATTCTCTCCCCCTCGGTTTTCTGGATCTTCCTCATGCGAGAGAAATATAAGATCACTAAACTATGCCCTTTTTCGATCTACCGTTCCACTTGTTCTAATCTGTGGCGTAGTTTGGAAAATGTATAGCGTTCTTTCTACACCAATTTGGCTTGGTCAGTGGGTGACGGGCGCTCTATTAATTTCTGGACTAATAATTGGGTTCCCCCGATTGGCTCACTCCTCAACGTTGCAATGACTAACTTTTCGATGGATGTTTCCTTAACTGTCTCTGATGTGTCTTCAGATGGTTGCTGGGATTGGGATCTTTTGAACACTCTCTTGGACCCTATAGATATTCATCATATGAGAAATATTATTGCTCCATCTTTTGTGGTTGGTTCGGATATTGTTTATTGGTCAGTTTCACCAAAGAGGATTTTCAATGTTTCAAGCCCTTGTAAATCCTTATGCTCTTCTTCCTGGGCCGCTACGAATCCTTGCTAGTTTGTAATTTGGCATTTACATGTTGTGGAATGAATTAGGAGTTTTCTATGGTTCGCCATCAGAAATAGAGTGTTCACCAACTCTAACCGATACCGACGAGGTCTGGGAAATGATTCTTCTTGCTATTTGTGTCCAGCCGAGAATGAAACTTTGCTCCATATCCTTCGAGATTGCATCACCGCTCGGAGCATTTGGCAGAGACTCCTCCAAGCTCACCCCTTTCCCTATTTCTTTGATTTCGATCGTGAAGCTTGGCTTATGGGAAATATTAGTTATTCTTCCCACTGTGCTGCATCCAATGGCCCTTGGTGCATTCTTTTCGCCTCCTTGGTCTGGCAGCTTTGGAAGGCTCGAAATCTTCTCGTTTTTCAATATGTCTCTCCTTGTCCGGAAGCTATACTTCAAGTCAGCATATCCAGGAGCAAACTTTACGATGACTGTGTGCCCATTCATAGTTCACAGACTGCAAACCTCTTCACATGTTCAATGGTGCCCTCCGGATTTTCTAGCTATCGAGTCCGTTTGCTGTTGTTCGAGCTATCACTCGCCTTCTTGACCAAGCCTGGGTTGTTCTTTTTCGGAAAATCTATAGAGAAACAAATAGGGCTGCTGATTTTCTAGCTAAGTTCGATGGCTTTCCCTCAGATGCAACTGTCGAAGTCGGCCCTCTTCCGGATTTGGGGTGGGTCGCTCTTAATAATGATGGGGTTGTGTCGCCCCAAACTGGTTTAAGTTTGATTGGGGGTTTCTTCAGGGATCATTCGAGAAATTATTTAGGTGTTTATCACAAATAGCTAGGGACATCAACAATTCTTGAAGCAGAATTATGGGGCATATATGAAGGGCTCCGTTCAGCTTGGCAATTTGGTTTTGAAAGAGTAATTGTTCAAAGTGGTTGTGAGGATGCCATCCAACTTCTTTCACCACTGTTAGCTTCGAGTCTATTTGCTGCTGTTGGAGCTATCGCTCGCCTTCTTGACCAAGCTTGGGTTGTTCTTTTTCGGAAAGTCTATAGATAAACAAATATGGCTGTTGATTTTCTAGCTT